AAAGTGGCTACTAGTGGAATTCTTCACCATTGCTTCCATCACGCTTCTGCAATGGTCACTCACTAGTTTCTTTTTCCTCTTTGAATTCCGTAATACTTCTAAAATTTTTTCTTTTTCTTTTTTCATTCTTTCCTATCAATTTCATCATCTATGCTTATTCTTTCTCTTATAACTTTTTTAGGGTTTCTGCTGTCTTCATTAAATCTAGGTTTTCCCTTTGTCTTTCTTACTTTTTTCAGTTGTTCCCATTGTCTTTTTTTCCTTCTTTATCTCACTTGCTTTTGCTGAGGCAGAAATCAGTCCTTTTATTCGTTCCTTTATCTCACTCGCCTTTTATAGTAAGTGGTTTACCGTGATGATGTGTTGAAATATAGTTTGATTCTATGTCATGTATTTTACTTCATGAGAGTGCAAAAAGGTTCAAAATGGTTAGGTTTAGCCTAAAATACTTAAGTTTGAATTTATTTCTTAACAAAGTTGTATCATTTTGTTAAAAAGATTGATTTTTGGAAGCATGGGTTTCATATATTCATTATGCTGTCGTACACCAAGTACTATCACAGAAAATTTTATTTGTATAATTTGATCTCTCTTTGGTTTTATCACCTTTTTAGGTGAAACTTGATATTTGTGTCAGTAGTCGGTACTTTTAGTCAATATTTCTTTACCTGATATTGGTTATGAGATCACTTGGTGTCATTTGAGCAGTCAGATATTGAACATCAAACTATATTTACTGTTGTAATCCATTTTCTACTATATTGAACAGTCCGAAGACCATGTTTGGTTTCATTTGTTTATGTGTATTATTGCAGATGCTGGTAAATCTACAACCGGTGGTCAGATTCTTCTCCTTAGTGGTCAGGTTGATGATAGGACTATTCAGAAATATGAAAAGGAGGCCAAAGATAAAAACCGAGAAAGCTGGTAAATTCAAATTTCACGCAAGGTTATCATGAGCAGTTGATGATTGTTTCTATTTTATCACAGATTGCATTGGCTAATGTACCACATTATCTGCTCTGAGGCAAACCTTATTTTTTTATTTACTTTGATTTATAGTCCTGTTCACTGATGTAAAGGAAACATTTTCACAATTTATTGTCATTCCGATATGTAGATAGGCTAAAATCAGAAGCACTATTTTAAAAAACCTCCGCCTAGTCCGCTTAGGCGTACGCCTAGGCCTAGACGGTACCTAGGCCGCCTAACTAGCGCTTAGCGCCTAGGCGGTATTTAGGTTGCCCACCTAGATATTACGAGCGTTTAGGTGAGCATTGTCTGCTTACGTGGATTGCACCCTGTAGGCCTTGATTGTGATTTTATGTGTCGTAGCCTACATGTCCTCCAAACTCCATTAACCTCCAAATATGAACACCTCTACTACCTCCTCCGACCTTTAGCAAAACCTCATTGGCCACCACTTAAATGAAGAAAAAAAAAAACGCCCAGAAACCGCTTAGGCGAAACCGCTTAGGCGCCCGCCTAGGCGACTAAGCGTTGGGTGCCAAGTCCGACGCCTAGAAGCGCCCAACGTTTAATGTAACATTGATCAGAAGTGTTACCTTAGGATAGATGAGAATGAATCTGCTTCATACCGAGAAAGCAATTTTCAGAAACAGACATATATTTCTGATGTCCAATTAGACCACTCTACATTTTGGTAGGCTAAAATCAGAAGTGTTACCTTAGAGCTTGTTTGGATTTGTAGGGGGTGAAGGGAAGTTAAGGGAAACTAGGTGAGAGAATGGAAGGGAAGGGAAGAGAGTTCCCTTCCCCTTGGTTACACCCCAATTTGGGGGTAACAAATTTTATACTATTAGGGGGTGAACCAAGGGGAACTAGGGTGAATAACTTCACCTCCTAAATGTTCCCAAACAAGGTGAATGGAGGTGAATGATTCCCCTAACTTCCCTTCACCCTTATTCCCCTCAATCCAAACAAGCCCTTAGGATAGATGATAACGAATCTGTTCCATACCAAGAAAGCAATTTTCAGAAACAGACATATTTCTGATATCCAGTCCACTCTCCATTTTAATAGTTACCCATGGTGACCGGCTTAAACTAGAAGCTACATGTGCCAAAATTTAAGAATGCACATAGCAATCCTGACAACACAGGACAATGAGCAAATTTTGGGACAGTATATGGCTTTGAATAGAAGTTTAATGCTACATAATTTGCGATGCCTTTTGAATGATAAATGTTGTCAATTTGAGGTAATAGCCACAGAATGGATATTCGTGATGCTGGCTGTCATTCAGATGAACCTTCTAGCATTGCTTATTGTGGAAATATATGTTATTTCTCCTTATATTTCATAGAGTCAGGTACACAGGCCCTTTATACACCTAAGGAGCCAAATATGGTTCCTTGATTACAGGGATGGAATCCCTCTAAAATAGTAACTAACCTATTATAGAAGATATGTACAACTGTATAGGATTTGAAAATAATATTCAGATCCTCTAAAAATAGAAACTAATTATAACAAAGAAATAAATCCTAACTAACTCCTATTTACAATGAATCCTAATATCTCTACACCCCCCTCAAGCTGGGGAGTATATATTGATCATTCCCAGCTTGGAGCATAGATTTTCAAATGTAGGCCTTTGGAGAGCTTTAGTTAGGATATCTGCAGTTTGCTGTTGTGATAGCGTGTATCGAAGGTTGATGATTTTTGCTTCAATCTTCTCACTTATGAAATGTCGATCAACCTCGATATGCTTTGTTCGATCATGATGGACAGGATTCCTTGCAATGCTTATAGCTGCCTGGTTGTCACACAAGAGTGTGATCGACTCCGAGTTCTCAACTTTGAGTTCATTGAGCAATCTTTTAAGCCACATTCCTTCGCATATTCCTTGTGACATGGCACGATACTCGGCTTCTGCACTACTCCTTGCAACAACGGTTTGTTTCTTACTTCTCCACGTGACAAGATTGCCCCACACAAATGTACAGTAACCTGAGGTGGACCTCCTGTCAGAGAGAGATCCGGCACAATCTGCATCAGTGAACACCTTGATTTCTCTATCTGAACTTTTTGTAAATGCTAGTCCTTTGCCCGGTGTACTTTTGAGATATCTCAGAATTCGGTATGCTGCCTCCATATGTTCCTCTGTAGGGTTGTTCATAAATTGGCTTACAACACTCACTGAGAACCCTATGTCTGGTCTTGTATGGGAAAGATAGATTAGTCTTCCTACTAACCTTTGGTACTGCCCTTTATCTGCCGGTGTACTGTCCTGTTTGGATCCTACTTTGTTGTATGGATCCATTGGTGTGTCAGCTGGTTTACTCCCTAGCATTCCTGTCTCTTTTAGGAGATCAATGACATACTTCCTTTGAGAGATGAAGATACCTTTCCTTGATCTAGCGACTTCCATTCCAAGGAAATACTTTAAATTTCCGAGATCTTTAATCTCAAATTCCCTTGACAAGAGGTTTTTGAGACGGGTAGCTTCGATGTGGTCATTGCCGGTCAAGACTATATCATCAACATAGACAATGAGAATGGTTACCTTCTGATCCGAGGTGTGTTTGACAAAAAGAGTGTGATCCGCTTGGCATTGAGTGTATCCAGTCCCTTTGAGAACCTTAGAGAACCTATCGAACCATGCACGAGGAGACTGTTTGAGGCCGTAGAGGGACTTTTTGAGTTTGCATACTTTGCCTTGAGTAGCCTTTGTGTTGAAACCTGGTGGAATGTCCATAAAAACCTCTTCCTCAAGGTCACCATTGAGGAAGGCGTTTTTGACATCAAGTTGGTGTAGTGGCCAATCTAGGTTTGTAGCGATAGATAACAAGACTCTGATGGTATTTAACTTGGCAACCGGTGCGAAAGTCTCTTGGTAGTCTATCCCGTATGATTGAGTGAATCCTTTAGCCACCAAACGCGCCTTGTATCTCTCAATTGTCCCATCAGCCTTATATTTAACAGAGAAGATTCATTTGCAGCCTACTGTTTGTTTTCCTGGAGGAAGAGCTGTAATCTCCCATGTTCGGTTCTTCTCTAAAGCCTTGATTTCTTCAAATGTGGCAGCCTTCCATGTTGGGATTTCTAGAGCCTCATAAACAGAGGTGGGAACCTGAATTTCATCAAGTCTAGAGACAAACGCACGGTAATTGGGTGACAATTCCTTATAAGATATGAAATTTTTTATTGGATGTGAGGTGCAGATCCGAACCCCCTTCCTTAGAGCAATAGGTAGTTCCGAATTATCAACATTAGTAGACTCACTAGGAAGCATACCTTGAGATTCGTCAGGAGTGGGACTTGGTTGAGACTCTTGGCACTGTTGGGATTGTACAGTCTGTACTTCCTTATCCTGCTTCCTTCTTCGGGAATAGACAAGGGGTTCTTTTTGAGGACTAAGATGTGTGTTTCCTGGTTCTGTTGGTGAAGTTTGGTCGGCTAAAGGCTGGGTGAAACATGTTTGGACAGGTTCAGGCACATGTGGGGAGAGAATTGGAGCAATTTGTGTTGTTTCGGTAGGAATTGAAGAAAGGAATTGGAATTGAATTGGTTCAGTGTGAATACCTTCACTCATGAGAGGATGTTCTGTCATATTCCCCCCCTGAGCAGCCGTGTAGAATGGTCTGTTTTCAAAGAAAGTGACATCCATAGAGGTGAAAAATTTCCGTGCAGAAGGGTCATAACATTTATACCCTTTTTGATTTGGAGAATAGCCGAGAAAGATGCATTTGGAGGCTTTAGGGTCAAGCTTGCTTCTGTGATGTGGATGAATATGTACGAAGGCTGCTGGTTGAATACCTGTTTGAGCAATATTTCCTGTACTTGAGGTGGAAGAAATCAGAGAGGAGGATTGATGCATTGAGTTGAACATCTTTTGCAGCATCTCCATCTGTACTTTGCTGAATGGACGTGTCTCGGCCTGAGAAGGATCAGTTGTGGAAACCAAGTGTCCACGGCTTTCATAGTCATTAGCCATGCGTTTTGGTTTCCAATCGGCAGGTTTCCCGTGCAGCTTCCAGCAGGTATCTCGGACATGTCCGGGTTTGCTGCAGTGGTCACACCAGGGCCTTCCACTTCTGGGCCTGTTTTCATTTGATGATGAGTGATTCCCTCCTGGCCGTGAATTTGAGTTGTGATATGAGGGTCCTCGTGCAGCAAGAGCGGATCTGTCAACCTGTGGGTTGGAAGGAGATGTCACCATCATGACTTTCTTTCGGCTTTCTTCTCTTCGGACCTCTGAAAAAACTTCTCTGATTGGTGGCAATGGTTTGGTTCCTAGAGTTCGTCCTCTGACTTCATCCAGATCTTTGTTTAGTCCCATAAGGAACTTGAATATTCTTTTTATCTCTACCATTCTCTGAATTTTGGCCTGGTCTTCAGGGCACTTCCACTCATGGACTTCATAAAGATCTAATTGTTGCCAGTACCTAGTCAGTAAATTATAATAGGCAGTGACAGATAATTCTCCTTGACGTAAATCATGGAGAGTGCTTTCGATAGCGAATAATTCTACAGTGTTGTCGTTGCTAGAGTACGTATCTCGTGTAGCATCCCAGATTTCTTTTGCAGTTGAGTAGAGAAGAAAATTTTCCCCGATTTCAATGGTCATGGAACTGATTAGCCATGCCATCACCATACTGTTTTCGGATTTCCAGGTTTTAAAACTGGGCTCATCCGGTTTAGGAGCAGCAACAGCCCCCGTGAGGTGATCATCCTTGCCTCGCCCACGTATGTATAGCATAACAGACTGTGACCATTGGAGGAAATTGTGGCCATTTAATTTGTGGACTGTAATTGGAAGAAAACTATCAGAGTTTCCATGGTGATTTGAGAGAGATTGCTTTGGACTGGATGTGACTTCAGATTGGGATTGGGTGTTGGCGGCCATGCCAGACTTTAGAATTGAGAGGGAGAGGCTGATTAGGGTTTCAGATTAGCTCTGATACCATGTGGAAATATATGTTATTTCTCCTTATATTTCATAGAGTCAGGTACACAGGCCCTTTATACACCTAAGGAGCCAAATATGGTTCCTTGATTACAGGGATGGAATCCCTCTAAAATAGTAACTAACCTATTATAGAAGATATGTACAACTGTATAGGATTTGAAAATAATATTCAGATCCTCTAAAAATAGAAACTAATTATAACAAAGAAATAAATCCTAACTAACTCCTATTTACAATGAATCCTAATATCTCTACACTTATAATGTCCTACGCTGTATCAAACAAAACCATTGATGCTGTGTTTAGAAAACTAAGGGTTAATAAAGAATGTTATACATGTAGCGAGTGATATTAAACTTTTATGTAAGCTGGTGGGTTAGTTTGAATAAAAATATAGCTGCTGAATTTTTTATTTTAATCATTTTTATCTTTACTTCATGAGAATCTTTGAGATTTTCAACACATTGTTTCTCTTATCAATGGATTTTTGTTGATGACATTGGCTTATCTACCTTAAGCAGAGTGGGTCAAGTGACCCCCATTTGCTTAAGGAGAGCTAGAACCATACACTATATAAAACCTGCCTATATAAAATTACCACCTCACAAGCAAACTTGTGACCCCACAAAAAAACCAACAAAACCCTTGCCCAATTTTCCACTGGACCACCACTCTACTTAAAAACCTGTATGGAAAACCCGCTCCACTACCAAGCTTATGACCCCTCTTAAAAAAATCCATAAGACCCACACCCGCATTTGGGGTTATGTATTTTCAAAGGATTTTCCCAATATTAGTCCCTTAAATCTTCCATATTTTTTATTAGTCCCTCCAATCATTGAAATTCCTATTAGGTCTCCCAATTATTCATTTTTATTGAAATTAGTTGCTCAAAAATTGCTATTAAGGGCATGTTTAGTTACTACTTATTTGATGATTCCTTATAAGTTACTTATTACATTTTTTACTTATTTTGTTGGAGGGCAAGATAGTCTTTTAACATTAATTAGTAAATCTATTTATAAGTGGTTAATAAATAAGTTGGAGAATCCCATCCTATTTTTTCTACATATAAGTTAAAAATACATAATACGTAAACCCTTATTGAACATGATCTTTGCACCTTATAAATAAAAGGATACCTATAAGTGAAAATAAGTATGTTGCAAAACATGCTCTAAGTCCCCCAAATTTTAAGTTATTTTGAATTAGTGACTCAAATCAATCAAATTTATCAATTAAATTGTTTGAAACAAATTATGAGAATTGGGAAGTCTTATGACAATTTCAATGATTTGAGGGACTAATTTCCTTCTAATTGCTTTATCTACTCTTGATTGGAGAGACTAATTTTGAGATAACTTAAGAATTGGGGACCTAATAGTGATTGCCATGATCTGAGGAACTCGTTTCAAGATAACTTTAGAATTGAGGGACCTAAAAGTAATTCATTGATTTGACAGACTAATTTTGGAATCTGGAAGATTTAGGGAACTAATATAAAAAAAAATCAAAAGATGAAAGCTAGTCGAACGCAATTTTAAATTTATTAAATATTAATTATGTAGTGACACCATTTTCCAGAATTCCTGAATCTGCCGTTGATCGATGAGATAAAAAAAGATAAAAGTTCTTAGGAAAGAGAACCATGTATCTTTAGTGTTCATTTTGTTATTTTCACTTAATCTTCATAAACATCTTTATATTTTTCTGCATTTGCAACACAACGTATTTTAATTCTAATACACTGGTCGCTTGTTCTCTCTACGCTAGGTACATGGCATATATTATGGACACGAACGAAGAAGAACGTGTAAAGGTATACTTTATTGACTACTGTCCCACAGCTTGTCATAGCTTTGAATAGTCATCAATATCTCAAGCAAATGCTTGTCTTTTGGCCGCTGATGTCCTCAGCAGCGTATTATATAAACTCATTGCTGACAAGCATGTGCTTGATACATTCTCTTAGCATTATTTTTATTCATATACATCCCTTGCTTTTGGTTTGTGAACATGGTCCACATAACTGTTTGAATTATATAAGGAATGTTTTTTAGTCATGTCCTGGACCTGCAAATTACTAGCTTCTCTATTTCTATTAGCAAGGAAGGATCTAACCTGTCACTTATCTTCCATTTTAGCTGCTGAAGTTATTTGACTGGGAGCTTGACAAGCTTCACATTTCCTGTGTCTACTTAGTGTTCTTAACATTTTTATGATGTTCAGGGAAAGACTGTGGAGGTTGGGAGAGCTTATTTTGAAACTGAAAATACAAGATTTACTATTCTAGATGCTCCTGTAAGTTCTTGCTATTTATTCATTTTTTGTTTTTTGTTAGTACTATAGAGTCATTTATAATTCCTAGTGTCTGTAAGATTTGATGACTCATGGAACCAATAGACAGTTTCTTTATAATCCATGCTATGCACATTCACTATCATGTTGTACGTTAAAGCATCATTGAAACAGTGACTATTGAATTATTTTATTTAGAGTGTTATTGGACAGGGTTTACCTGCTGTGGACTGCAAATTTGGGTGCAGAGATCTGCAAAAATTAAAATGGCATAGGATATTCAATTTATTTTGTCATGACTTTCCAGATAGAAAAGTCCTTGCATAATTGCATGAAATGGTAACCAATCTAACTTTATCAGTACTAGGTGGTGGTTGCTTTTTTTCTGTTCCATTCTGATCTTGTAAATCATAGATAAAGGTTTAGTGTGATCCAGGCAAATGAACCATAAACCTATGTGCTTCTTTGGTCTTGTATCAGATGATACCTCATCAAATTATTCATTTGAGACGAGCTTAGTTACTGTTTGCTATCTGCCTCTGGACTTGTTTAATCAGGTGGACCTTTCAGAAAGCTCTTATTATTCCCTATGGATAGTTTGTACTACTGATTGAAGAAAGGGAAGAAAAGAAACAGGTTCTTTGTGTTTAGAATAGTTTGAAAATAACAAAGCAATGAAAATAACAAAGCAGTTATATATATTTAGATGGCCATGTTAATCTATGCTGTCCTTATGTCACTTTAAACAGTTTTTAATTCATTGGGCAATTCTGGTTTTTTCAATTACTATTTTTCTTGATGATTTTAGTAAATATCTAATTACTTGTATATGCAGGGCCATAAGAGTTATGTACCAAATATGATCAGTGGTGCATCTCAAGCTGATGTTGGTGTTCTGGTAAATTTATGCTATCAGCCTGTCTTGTGTGGATACTGTCTTTTGAGAAGTCTATTAACTAACTGCGTAAAACTTTTCTCGTGCAATAAGGTTATATCTGCTCGTAAAGGTGAATTTGAAACTGGATATGAGAAGGGAGGACAAACTCGTGAACACGTTCAGCTTGCAAAAACTCTTGGTGTTTCAAAGTTGGTGGTTGTTATAAACAAAATGGATGACCCTACAGTTGGTTGGTCAAAAGAAAGGTGAAATGTTCTCCTTTTTTCTCTTGAATTCCCTCTCTTCATTTTTTTTAATTTTAATTATCTATCACTTTTTGTCTAGTATTTGACCTGATTTTTGTTATTGCTTTAATGATGATATATTTATTTTCTATTTCAGATATGATGAAATAGAATCCAAGATGGTTCCTTTCCTGAAATCTTCTGGCTACAATGTGAAAAAAGGTACCTTGTGCAGCGTTCTTTTAAGGAACCTTGCAAATACCTTATTCTATACTTTTGAGTGCTGCTTCTTTAATTTCTTTCCTTTTTATCAGTTAGAAGTAGTCACTAAAACTGGTAATGGTCTTTTTGCCTTCTTACATAAATGTTATAACATGTTTTTTATTTTGCAGTTCTCTTACTGGTCTTATAATACACTACTATTGGTCATGGTTTGTTAAGCAATATACTGCTGTTATTGAGGAAGCTATTTTGAGCTGATGATTTCTTTAGCTATTCCAGTTATTTGTTACTTATGGTTCTGTATGATGTTCTTCGTCAAGCTCATTTTTAGTAGTTCAGTTTAGTTGTTTAGTGCTGTCATGTATTCCTAAGGATTAAGATTTATATTAAGGCATCTCGATTTCAGGCTGCTAGGGTGAATAACTTTCTTTTTATCTGCCGATGATTGGTTAAACTAAATCAAAACCTGGTAAAAACTATAAAATGGCTAATATTACCCTCAATCCTTGTAAACAGAGACAGTCGATGGAAGAAAGCAACCACTTTGTGTTGCTTTCTTTCACCATTTGCTCTGTTTACTGTTGCTCCATATTTTTATCATTTCACGTCGAACATTTATAGGCAAATGGAAGTGAAACTGAGATTGATAATATACCGTGCAAATAAAAACTAACCCCAGCTTTGCTGCACCACTCTGTGCTCTGAGCCTCTCCATTATGTTTAGTATTGCTTTTCATTCCACCCGTTCTCTTTTCAAGTGTAACAACTTGGTTATACAATACCTTTGATGGATTTAGATTTTAGATCAGTGTTGCTCTTCATCCCTCCTTTTCTTGTTTCTGTATATTCCCCAAATTGAATAATAACGGAGTTTGGTAATGGTACATAGTTAATTTAATAGGTTCTAGACGTCTATATGTTTTAAGAACATATACACAGGTCTAAAATTAATGTAATCCTTGTTCTGCTAACTCATTTCAGTTACCAAGCAGGTATATAATCTTTATACCCTGTACATCCTTCATCAAACCCATTTAAGTTATTAACCAGGCATGTACCACTATGCCCTATAAATTGGTAACATCTAGAATGAGTCAAGCTTCTTCGATAGGAGTTTCACAATTAAAAAGTTCTGCTTTTAGTCATCTTAACTGAAAT